TAAAAATCCTTGGTGTATAAATATTTTTTTTTATTTATATTGCCAGTAAAGAAAAGAATTTTTATTGGATATTCTTTTGAATTTAAAAATTTAATCGTTTCTAATATGTATGAATCACATAATAATTTTGTAAAATTAATTCATGTTTTCTCTCTCTTACTTTGGTTTTATTAATATTATATTTATAACACTAACTCATCATTGAATTCTATTACATTTTTTTTTAATATACTTTTTTTGTATATACTTGTGTGAATACTCCAGAAAAAATGTTATATATATATATAATTTTATATAATTATTTATGAATTTTTTTCTAGGTCTCAAACATAATAATACACCAAGACGCTGATCAAATTGACAAATAATGATAGAGAAATCCAAGATTAAATATGTATCATAATTGTTTATAGCTAATCCATTTTAAAGTAACGGATTTTTAAAACATTATATTTATTTCTAATATAATAAATCTGTTACATTTTTCACAGATTCGTTACCTGATAAAATCTCTGTCACTCACCGACTGATGCGCATCAGTGGAGTTATCAGTTACATAATTCATGTGGCTACATAGTTCTGTAACATATAAACACAAGATTCAAATTAAAATAACATTCAAAATAATTAATAATTAAAAAAATAATTTTTATACACATTAAATTTTTCAACTATATATCCGTTAAAAAATAATTATACATTTTCTCAAAATTGTCTTTATGAGAATAAATTTCTATAACATTTTAGATTAATTTTAATTTTAGATAATTTCTTTTCCTTCAATTATTATTTTTCGACTTTCATTGAAATAAAACATCTAATGGGAAGAAATGACTAATTTTTTATGCAAGTAAGTAATAAGTTTGTTTTTTACCGCAAAGTTGCCCCGTCGAAACCTATTGCTTTTCCTAAGTCTCCTCCTTCTTTTCCTCCTTCCCCTCACAAAATTGTCAAGCCTACTTCTCGTTTCTCTTCTCTTCCCGTTACTTACTTTGTGACGTATAGACAGTACCTGGTTGAAACAAATCATTTGTTAAAATTAAGTGCAGTTGCAAATAATTACTAAAGATGAGCTTTGTTTTGTATTTACAATATTTGTAAGCATCATTTGTCCTATTTAATATTTGATAGACAACAAGGATGAACTGATGCTTACAGCATATGAGCATGAAAGTGAAATATCTAAATATTGTGCGACCATGTCATATTTTGTTTATATTGTCGATATTAATTATACGTGATACATAATTCATGTTGCGACAGCAAAGAAATAAGAATGCAAAAAAATTTGTCATGTTTGATACTTGCGATATTTTACAAATAAAATTTGGAATGCACCTAAAATAGCGAAATGGACAGTTTCTGGACAGTTGACTTTACGCATCAAAGATGAAATGTTATTCGTCTGCACGAATATTATTAAATACATGCTCGAATGAATTATCGATATAAAATTAATATAAATTTTGCTTACCAATTCAATAAGTCGCGACGTCACTTATTTGGAGCCGATCATTTCGTATTCGTCGCATTCTGCAAATAAAACATAAATGCAATTATTATGTCGAAGTGATTTTCTCTCGCGTGATCAATTTCACATGCCAAGAGCGACACGGCGGCGTGCCGATGGCAATTGCGCGTCCTTCTCTTATAACTTAATACTTATCTCTTATAAGTGAATATTAAATTTGTAATTGCGCGAACACTAAGTATTGCAATAAATAATAAATACAGTTTTAATATAAATTAATTTTTTATCATTTGATCGATGTACATCTCGTCTCTTAATTATATTTGCGCTTCATCTACAGATCGAGATGTGTAAATGAATCGTAGTTGTAATTAAGATGACGAGACAGCTTCGTCATTGCATGGTTAACTTCGCGTACCAAAATTGAAGCGAACGACGCGAAATACGGAAATAACAATCATAAAGGACAAGCATATATTATAATATACGCTCGACTTTTATTTCCGTATTGCAGATTGATATTCGAAAATCTCATGGTCAACTATTCAAACGATATACCGCTTTCGGCGAACAAGTTTTGCGAAATACGCGTTCGAACGGATTATTAATATGCGATTACTGAATCTATAGTCGGTAGTTAAATATCGCGTATAAAAATATACATTCAAATTATTCAGGTATTATATAGGTTTTAATTATCATATTTGATCGCGCGTTTCCACTCGTTTGAGAGCCAGTCCATCCCGCCATGTTATTCCCTATCCGCCGCATTTCGCGAATGAAACGTGAATGCGATTGAAATGGGGAAGCGGCGTCGTTTTCCATGTGCGGTCAATTTCACGTGAGACGCGACGACGCGACATGATGTTGCATCTTGATTTTCGATCAAACGAATATGCGAGAAATATATTTCGACCGAATAATCAGTGTGCTATACTAGAATCTGCAATACGCGATATTTACACTGTTACGAGAAGTAAAGGCAAAAAAAAGTTAATTATTGATTACCTTAGTAAAGAAATCCAACGATCCTTTGAGAAGTTTTTCGTCGCTTTTTATGTTCTAAAAGATTCTTTTTTTTAATCAGCAGAGATTAGAGTATGGAGAAAAAATGACAATCGATTCGAAGACAGGGTTGCGAACTTTTCCAACGTTAAAATGACAGGACATATCCCCGTCCCCTGCTTGAGTCGCAAAAGCGTAAAATCGCGAATTACGTGCTATTTATATGAACCGTCAAACGGCAAACCCCACCACTCGCATGACAGCCAATGAGCGCGATGCCTCGCTGCGGATGCAGCTTATTGGATCGCGCTAGCTTCCGAATGTGGTATATAAATGCTACGCGCAAAAAATTTCAGTCTTTTTCGGAATTTGAAGTCGAGCGTTTTATAAGGATAGAGAAGCCTGTACTCATTCGGCAAGCGCTTTTACGATGTAGCATGTATTTAGTACATAGTTCACATTACGTATACTGTAGAATTTCAAACATAAAACAGTGTTTTGAATACGGACTAGAAATTATATTTTTTCCAAAAGTTAAAAACAATTAGAATAAATAAATGAAGGCTATCAAAAGAAAAATCGAACTTATAAAATAATAAGCAATTATAAATTGTGAATGATTTAAACATCGTGAAAGTATAAAAATATACTTATTATTTAAAGTTTTATAATAAAATTTTAAATCAAAATATTAATATAGCAATACTACTCCACTGAATTTTATTTTATTGTTAGGTATTAAATATATTATGATAATAATCATTACGCTCATTTGTGTATAAAATGAAAATGACATTTTTTGTATAATATACGATATTGAAAAATGGACTTAACGGAATTATATCGATGGCAGAGAGAGAGAGAGAGAGAGAGAGAGAGAGAGAGAGAGAGAGAGAGAGAGAGAAACTTGAGAGAGGACATATTGTTGTGTAGTTAACATCTACTTCTTCAGAGGACGGTAGTGCATGGCAGCATTTTGCAATTACATATCATGTCCTCTCTCAGCTTCCACCTCCATCACAACCTGATAAACAAGGCTGTCAACGACAGAAGCGCCACGAATTTTGTGCCGCTGCGGAGTAACTGTAAGTTGCCGAGATTTTACTCCTTTCTATTACTCTATATTCATGACATATCGAGGAAAGGTTAGGAAAGCTCCTTTTACAAATTCTAACCTTTATAAAGTAACAAATACGTCGGATACGCACGCCATCGTGCTACCCTGGAACACATGTTACGTTTATGATGTTGTCATTAAATAATATTAAATTGATTAATTTTGTAAAGTATTCTGCGTGGAAACTCTATACAGATAATACATATTGTCATTTAAGAACCTATCGCTATAGGTATAAACTGATTCAGACTTTCTTTTATTCGACGAAATGCGACACGAAAGAGGATGGAATTCAATCGTCTCTCGATCCCAGAATCGAAGCACTACGAGAGAAATTGATATATTGCGACTATTTAGATTATCATAAGGTGAAAATAAGTTACATGAAGCGTTTTGTATGGAAAAAGAAAGCTAAGAATTTTGCGAAGGAGGTACGAAAAAGTGAGCTCACGAACGTACCTGTCTACAGCGTACTTTTGGATGAGAGAAATGAAGAAAACGATGACAGTCACTTGGAGCAAAAATATATAAATGCAGAAGAAGATACAACCAAACCTATACATATGCCATATGCGAGTACGGATTCATACAGTAATGTAGATATATCTTCTGAAATGAATAAAAATAATTTTGATGAAAATACAATATCATTGAACAGCAGATATAAAGTTCTATATGAAAAATATTTAACAGAAAAGAATGTGAATTTGGAAAAAGAAAAATTTAATTTGCAGGAGTATTTAGGAGAAAGAGATACGTATAAGAAAAATTTTCCATCAAATGTTCCATCTAATTGGATGGTCGACGTTGAGCAATACGATGATACTTTACAAGACAATAGCTGGCTCGGCAATTACGGAACTCCTGATCCAAACTCTAGTATTAGTTCCATACCATGTGGTGGATGTGGAGCCTTGTTGCATTGTAAGGATCCTGCTCTACCAGGTTACTTACCTTCGGAATTGTTTCTAAAGAGGAGCAATCGAGAATTGCGAGTTATGATTTGTCAAAGATGCCATTTTATGCATTATTATAACACCACGTTAGAAGTAAAAGTATCTGCAGACGAATATCCAAAACTGTTAAAAGTGATAAGAACAAAGAAATGCGCTGTCATTCTGATGGTCGATCTTACAGATTTTCCATGTAGCATATGGCCTGAAATAAATAGTGTGCTGCATCCTTTAACACCAGTATTTGTCGTAGGGAATAAAGTAGATTTGTTGCCTCAAGATTCGAAATATTTTTTTACTCATATTAAAGATTGCCTGTTGAAGGCTATGGAAAGTACAAAAATCAAGAAGGAGAATATTAGACATATAGAACTTATATCTGCGAAAACAGGCTATGGCATAGAAGAACTTATAAATAAGTTACATAATATCTGGAAATATAAAGGTAAGAATTCAAAATTGATCATCTAGAATCTAGAAGAACATATGCTCCAAACATATTTTGTATTATAATTATAATTTTTAGGAGACGTTTACATTATTGGATGCACAAATGTTGGTAAATCCTCTCTATTTAATGCTCTTCTACAGTCTGATTATTGCAAGGTACAGGCTGTGGATCTAATACAACGTGCAACTATTTCTCCTTGGCCAGGCACAACATTGAATTTATTGAAATTTCCTATTCTAAATCCTAAAAGAAAGCGACTTTATTTGAGAGCATTGCGATTAAAAATGGAACAGCGGCACAAGCATGCTGAAGAAAAATCTCGAATCGGTCAATTCGAAATGACACGTAATTTAAAGTACGCCACATTGCAAAGTATGTATCGTACTTGTGTAAATTTCTCATAATTACAACATACAATTGTATATAAAATTGTAGTCGATAAAAAATTTTTACATTTTTGTTAATATATGAAAGTAAATGTTGTATTCTAAATTTAGGTCATATAGGCAGAACATTTCAATCATCTAAAAATGATTTATTCATGGAAGGAAAATTTAAGAAGAATACGCAATTCGGATTTGATGAGAATAGGGAAGAATTCAAACTCAGCCGCTGGTGTTATGATACTCCTGGCACCATTCAACCAGCTCAGATATTGGATTTGCTGACAACGCAGGAACTTTTGTCGGTTTTACCAAAGAAAATAATCTCACCTAGAACTTTCATTCTACATGTAAATCAAACGATATTTTTGGGTGGAATAGGAAGATTGGATTACGTAGAAGGCAATACTTTTATTAGGTACTTATGCATAATTATGTGTGTGTAATTGCTAATAAGAACGTAATAAATTAAAGGTGTTGAGTATTAAAAACAATTGTTTTGTTTTTAATACATGTATATGTCGTAGGTGTACAATATTTTCAAGTAACGAATTACCGATAACTCTAACTCATACTGAGGATGCGGATAATGTATACGACGAGTTACTTAAAACGGAAGCGTTTGTCGTACCCGAAAACAATCCAGATCGATTGAAACATTGGCCACCTTTAGTATCTAAGGAGATGGAAATTACTGGTGTTGGTCAGAACGAATCAATCTCCGACATTGTTTTATCTAGTGCGGGTAATTTTTCTTTGTAATAAATAAATTTATATTTGCATAGTGGCTTCCGATCTTATAGTACATTTTTACAAGTCACTCTAACAGACTGTTTCAGCAACAAAAATGAATCACGTGATTAAAACTGACGAATATCAAACATTAATTTTAATCACGTGATTCTTTTTTGTCGCTGAAACATTCGGTTTGAACGGTTTGTGAAAATGTATTTTTACAATCGTGGTTTTATCATTGTTACACAGGATGGATCGCAATCGCTGCTGAAAAAGATGAGCGTGTTTTATTGAAAGCTTGGAATCCACAAGGTCGAGGCTTACACCTAAGAACACCAGCACTTTTGAAGAAATCTGTCACTCTACGTGGCACTCGAATTTTAGATACACCGACATACAAAAGCGGACGCCAAGCATATAGAAAATAAATACTTTTTTTACACGTGTATATTGTACATATAATCTAAATGTATTCTTGCTTTATATATAAATTCCTTACATTTATATACATATATGTATAAGTAGTAAAGGACAATATACTATATATTTGTATCAATTACAATGTCTTTCCAAAAATGCATATATATGAAAACAATTGAACAAGTATTAACACATACATGCCACGCCGATCCCAAAAATTTTTTAAAATATTTGATAGACCTGCTTTAGAGAACAAAACTGTACTGTGTCTTTTGTGTGATTGACGATTCATTAATTATCCCGGTACTGAACTTATTTCATTTAACTTTCCATTTACGCCACACAATTGGAGAAATATTTTAGGATTGGCGTGGCGTAAAAGGAAAGTTCGATGTCGGTTCGGCGAAACACGTTTAACCCGTATTAATACTTGTATATAACATATATTTTAATCAATACTTTACTTAATCATAAAAAATCTTATTCTTTTATTAAATAAGATTGCTTTGTTGACATCACATATACATACACACATACACACACACACACACACACACAAAAAGCAATCTACTACAAAATTTTGTAATATTATGATTTACTTGCTGTTTTGAAATTTTTTTTATTAGTTAATAAAATTCTTTTTTCGATTGGTTAATCAAATGCTTCGAAGCATTTGTAGCGCCAGCTTGGACCGTATAAATTATGATATAAAAATCGCGTTATAGAAAAACCTGAACAATAATATGATTTTTCATATCAATCGATCTCTCGTGCACGCATTTTCGCTTGCTTATACATTCTTTTGTAAAATTTTTCCAAATTTTTATAAAAGCCATGGCTCGGAGAATAATCTTGAATGTATTCGTATTTCGGATCGCATTCCTCAATACTGAAATAATATTTTCAAAAGTTAAACGTTGTAAAACGATCGGGAATCTTAATTACTTACTTGTCTGTCATTTTAGTAGTATACCATTTTTCTTTAGATTTCTGAAGATTTTCGATTTTAGATTGTAATCTGTAAAGACATACATATATGTATAGTTAATATAAATATGCAAGCGCGTATGCATGCGTGCGTGCGTGCGTAAATGCGTGTGAATGTGTACACCATTCATAAATTTGAGGATGCTTGCAGTT